CTTGTACTGTAGAATTCTGATAACAAAGAGGAACAACTCCGTAATGTTCCAAAAGCACTCTTAAATTTGGACAACAACTCTGCAATAGATGCCTTATGACCTAATTTCATGGAAACCAAAGCTGCTTCTCCTTTAAGTGATTTGCGAAGGGCTTGCAATATTACCTCGGGGCTGTATGTCTTACTCTCCATGAGGCAATCCACCTCATATCTCCAAAGATCATACTCTGTATCTTTCCCATGTTCTCCACTGAAGAATGGAGCCCCCAGTGAGGATCTGTTGACGACTGATGTTGGGTGGAGTGACAATTCCTGTGATCCAGTGACCATCCCAGTGATCCAGTAATGGACTGCATACCCATGTGAATACGTGGTAATTATGAACTATTTGCGTGCAGAATGTTATCAACTTGTACCAAGATTCACGCAATCATGGACTCGTTTCCAAAGCTAGCTATGAAGCAATTGCTTTAGTTCTGTCTCATCAAATGTGCATTTGTTCTATTGTCAGCAAACAGTCATAATTGTGTTATACTCTACAGAAGATGCATCTTATATTTCTTTGAAAATTCAAATGGTGTTCCCTGTCATACTTTGTTACTGATTGTACACTGCAGTGTTATTCCTGTGTTGCAACACATTTTTTTCTATTGTATATTCAACCATGGTGCCATTACTGACTCAGTTAGGTGTGTCAGTTTGTTGAGTCTTACCCTGACATTGGAACCAAAGGCGTCCGACCTCGGATCAGAAGGTCCATGGTTCGAATCCCATCACGGGACTCGGAAATTTTATGGCCGCTACATTGGCGCCCAACGTGGGGCTGTGTGAGTGTCTTATTACACCTGCAGATAGCAACTCCTGTAAATGACTTCTAACTTCATCAAACATAGCTGGTGGAATACGACGATGTCTCTGCTTAAAGGGCGTGTGGTCATAGAGCTCAATCCGATGCCGAACTTGTGTTGAGTGACCCAAGTCATCATCTGCCTTGGAAAAGATGTCCTTGAATTTGAGTATGGTGTCTAATCCTTCCTCAATCTGATCACGTGTTAGGCCCTCCTTATCCATCTCTATCTGATCAATCAATGTGTCAGAGTCTACGGGACGACCAGGTGGTAGATCTTGAATTGTGACCGGTTGCAGCTCACATAAAATAGCCCGAGTCGGAATGACGACAGCCTTGGTAGTGACATTTGAGATGTGCACTTCAATGGTATCTTGTCTTTGAGGGTTGTATTGGATGATAGTTGGGGCAATGTCAAGATCATGTGGTACTGCAGAACTGATGGTTGGTTGTAGCAATGCACAAACCTGAGGATATGCTAACCCTCTGCTCATTTGGCCCTTGATGACTATGGTGCTATTACTAGGGATTACAACACTTTTATGTTCTGCATTCCTAACCAAAGCAAGCTTCCCATGGTTTCTCACCAATTCCTTTTCATGTAATACAATACTTCTGAATGCTAAGTACCAGGGGGTATGCAAATTGGCCTTCTGTAAAAACCTATCTCCATTTTGGTTTCGGCATGTTTCAAGAAAATGTGATAACACATTTGTGCCCAGTAAAACTGGCACCTTTGCATTGTATCTGGTGTCAGATACCACAAGAAACAGACAAGATACAGAGTCCTCCTTAACACCACCTCCAGGAGTCCTAACTGAAACCTCGATAATTCCCTGATATTGGAGTTGCTCACCACCAGCACATTCAATATCTAGCAACTTATCCAAAGACACTAATGGGATATGAGAAAGATGATTCTCATAAAAAGATTGAGAAAGTATTGATACAGTGGCTCCAGTATCAAGAAGGGCGCACACTGGAATGTCCTCAATGTAAACTTCAACTTCATTAGAAGTTCCTACTAATCCTTGAGGCAGTTTCCTGTGTGTGGGGCGTTGAGAATTGCCTAATGGTAGCCCCTCCCCAGAACCTGATGGTAGCCGCTCTTCATGTCAAGGACAGAAAAGTAGGTCATACCACCTAAACAGTCAAGCATTTCTTCGATTCTGGGAAGTGCGTAGGAATCTTTGATGGTTCGGCGGTTCAGTTGCCTGAAGTCTATACACATCCTGAGTTTTCCATTTTTCTTCTTAGCAAGGAAAGGTTCTACTGGCCTGGTATGGCCAAAGACGTTGAGATTCACATACAATCTTGTGGCAGATGCATGAAGCGCAAGTCCTCCACCTCAATTCGTGCACCTCTGGTTAGTATCACAACATCTCAGCCACTTGAACTAGTGTGCATGGATTTTTTGACATTGGAACCCTCTACAGGTGGTCAGCAATATGTTCTTGTGATAACAGATCATTTTACTCGTTATGCACAGGCATATCCATCAAAGAACACTTCAGCAAGAACCACAGCAGAGCTGTTCTTCAACAACTTTGTAGTCCATTATGGTTTGCCCAAAAGGATTCATTCGGACAAGGGAGCTAACTTTGTGGGCAAGGTGATGACTGAGCTCTGTCAGATTCTAAAGATCGACAAGTCCTCCACAACACCTTATCATCCCATGGGTAATGGAATGTGCGAGAGGTTTAATAGGACATTGTGCAATATGCTTGGAACACTTGAACCTGAAGCCAAGAAGGATTGGAAGATCAATGTTGCACCACTAGTGCATGCGTACAACTGCACACGACATGAATCAACTGGACACTCTCCTTTCTATCTCATGTTCGGTCGTCATCCCAGACTTCCTATAGATCTGGCCTTTGGACTAGACATAGAACCTGTCACCACGAGATCAATTCTCAAGTATACCAAGACCTTTCAGGAAAAGCTGCGTAATGCCTATGAGATAGCTACTAGACAAGCCAAACAGTCTCAATCCCAGCAGAAGTCCTACTACGATCAGAGTGCAAGAGCAGCTGTATTAGATGTGGGTGACCGTGTCCTTGTTAAAGTAGTAGCTTTTGACGGTCGTCACAAACTAGCTGACAAGTGGGAAGATGACATTTACATTGTCACAAGCCAACCAAACCCTTCTATACCAGTGTATGTTGTTGAAAAGGAAAACGGAGGGGGCAGGAAGAAGACTCTTCATAGGAATCTGTTACTGCCCATTGGTTCTCTTCCTAGACCAGAAACATCTATTCCTGTACCCAAACCACGGAAAAGGAGGTCTAGCCCCACGTTGGGCGCCAATGTAGCGGCCATAAAATTTCCGAGTCCCGTGATGGGATTCGAACCATGGACCTTCTGATCCGAGGTCGGACGCCTTGTCCACATGACCAAAGAGGTTAACCCCGTCAGCAAGCTGACAAGGTAAGGATGTCATCTGTGGGATGACTCCACGCCCTGCTACATATGTTACACGTCAACACTGTTGTATTTTGTTATTTCTTTGAGGTGAAGGTCCTTGAATGAGAGTGCACTGTTTACAGTTTCAGTTATTATGTAGATTTGGCATATCTTTTATACATTTTTTCACACAAGTAATTTCACTTTGGATATTTGTCAATGTTCAAAATGAAATTATACGTAAATGTAGGCCACAGCATGTATGAACGATGAACTGCTTGTTTGAACATTGTTTACATAAGAATTGATAATTTTTTAGTGTCAAATACGATATTTCTCTCCTTTGGACAAGTGTTACATGATGAAGTGTAAATGTAACTGCAGCATGTACGTATTTCTTGGGGTGTGTAATAGTCAATATAACCAATGTCCATGAATAGCCGTTTCATTTTATTTTTAATTAAAACTGAATATATTACTTTAATATTTAAATGGATAATATTTTTCGTTAAATAGAATGGATGTATTTCTTTTGGTATTTCATTACATTATACGGTTAACGCTATTTTTCAGGGCATAATTATTTGTAGAAGCCCGAGGTCTTCCATTAACTGCCCGACGAAGGAGGGCAGTTGAAAAGACCGAGGGCTTCTGCAAATGATAATGCCCTGAAATATAGCGTTACCGTTATTATAGCTAAAATGGATGGAATTTGTTATCAAATAAAAAGAAACAACAATGTCGATTTTGAAACATTTACTGCAATCAACACGAATGTCACTGACCCCCTTTTACAAATATGGAAACGTCATAGAACAAACCAGATGACGTCTCTATTGAATGTTACGTCACCTATCCCTATCCTATGACGTCACCTAACAACGGGCGTGATAATGGCCCGTCGTCAATTAATATGAGGGCATTATCAAGTTACAGTGGCCCGCTCATTTCTGATAACTTGCGGGCGTTTTTATGATAATTCTATCCATTTTAGCATTAATTGATGATAAAGCTAGTACTCCATTAATAATGGTGAAACATTAGTCAGATTACACTTACACAATCAGGAGAATGTTGGAATCTAAGGACTAAGTTATAGGTTACATAGGGCCATCCATTTCTCTATTACCTTTGTTATGTAGATCTAGTACAATTTTCATCATTTATTATGGTTTGTTTTATAAAACCTCTCTGTCGCCTTTTGACGTCATAGAGAAAAATCAGTTTTCGTCATTTACGGCATGCTATTTTTGGCATTGAATGTATGTCGTTAGACATACGCATATAACTCTATTTGATATGTAGTTATGTCGTTCAGATATCAGGCAGTATTTCGTTCGCTCACAGTTTCCGTAAAGGTTATAAAAAAAATTTAAAATACGTCGCAGTTGGCGTTTGCATTTAAATTTACACCATCAGACAGGAAAGTTAATATTCTATATCTCTGCGCAATTTTCACGCCGGAGATAGATCCAGTGCCGCGTGAGTGCTATTCTCGCACAACCTTCACTTCAGACCAGCCGAATAGAAGGGAGAGGGTTGTCTGAAACTACGTGTTAACCATTTATGTTAATAATGTATAAGTCATGTTTCGCTAAAAACGTTGACAACGTTAGAGAAATCTCACACATTTATGTTTTTCGAAGGTTTTGACACAACGTATTCAAAACCAAAACAAAACGAAACGTATAGGTCTCCATATATTTAGCATATGATCGTACAATTGCAGCATTAATGAACTTTTACAGACCAAGGGAGGCACAGAGGAAGGAAAAGGCGAATTGAGTGGAAGACAAAAATCTTTCTGCTGAGAAGAAGTAACCCTGACTTCTTTCCTTCCCCAGCGGAATGTAGATTTCTCACCAGAAACGGATTTGGTAAGCTATTTTAATATCAGAAACCGGTTAAGAAGAGGTGTTAATAATTGAAAATATGATAAAATCATATATACAATAATGCACCCGATTATCCAGACTTCAAAATAGATATTGACGAAAGGCATGTATTAAGGTGTTAAGTTGAAGAATGTCCTAATTTAAGCAGAGATGTCTGGATAATGATGCACTGAAATTAATTCATTTGTGAACGTTTGTTTCAGGGGAAGCTGTTTTTCAGGACTCAGGAACAATACGCCTCTTGAGGACATGGACTCTGGGAACATTGGAAGCCCACATTTATGCGCTGTTTCCCAGAGTCCCGCTGTCCCTTGTGGGCTTTACGTATGCCCGTTGCGACAAGGGCAGAAGAGTCACACAAATTGATCCGCAATCCCTCCTTGATCTCGAGCGCAAAGTTGGAAAGGCCAAAATTATTATTGTCCCAAACAGGGACATCCCAATGGTAAGAAACCATGAGACCTATTTCAATGAAGTATTTTCTAGTATATCACATCGTGAATATTTTCTTATGGTACTATGTCAAGGTTGTTTCATTTCATTTTGACAGAACGAGATGGAACAACAAGAACCAGCTTTAATGCCAGAACCACAGGGCAGCCAGGATTTATTGCAAGAGCCATCGAATGAACACACTTTACTGCAAGAACCACCAAGCAACCAGCAAGAGCCACCGAGCGACCAGGCGTCACTGAGCGACCAGGCGCCACCGAGCGACCAGGCGCCACCGAGCGACCAGGCCTTGCAGCAAACGCAAGAAGCGGGATGGGTGATGGCGGGGACTCCCACAGTGCAGTTCCCATAAAAGTCCCAATTAGTGTACGCGGATACTCCCTATAGTAGCTCCATAGAGTGTTTGTGTACATACTCTGACATTTATCAAACATTTTGCGGAATAACTGCGTAGCTAAGAAGATATTTTACTAAATTTCCGCGGAGTTTCTGCGTAGCTCGGCAGAAATATTACTAAATTCCCGTCGAGTTTCTGCGTAGGCTTCGCGGAAATTTTGCGAAATAAAGTGAAAGACTTTTGCCATGGTGTATGTATTCATAAGAATTGACTTCAGCATAGTTTTCCTTTTATGTTATGCGGATTTACACAGTATGCACACTTGATTTTACGTTATGCGGATTTACACAGTATGCACACTTGATTTTACGTTTATACCTCCATAAACGCATAAAGTATATAGGATTTTATTCTTAAACAAAGTTTCAAATCATATCACACTGTGAAGTTTTAACATATTTCACTTTGATGATAGATAACCAGTGATATCATTTATTAGCTGAGTAGATCGTTAAGTTCTCTCGCACAAAGAATAAATTTATCTTTGTGTGAAAGTTGTCCGTACACAGCTTCCTTCAGTCGACAGTTTTGTTCATCTGTCAAGTAAAGAGATGATTGACTACCGTGCGCCATGCTGGTTGTGTGTGATTCCATATCAGTATCAAATCCATATGCTTGAACCGCATCGACAAGGCGGGTTGCAAACGAAGGTACATCGCCAAATATTTCTTCAACAGAAGTGTGTCCTGAATTCGCATTGTTCAGGATACCATCAATCCAGATTTGTTCAGGTGAACGGTTACTTTCTGTTCGCATTCTGTGACAGTTCCAACCACATCGAAAAGATGTCAGTCGACGGTTTATTTCCGGAACATAAACGAAGTGCAACGCATAAATGTGCTGAGTGTTCACTACATCAAGGATACCCTCATCCTCAAATGCATAAAACTCCTTGTAAAATGTTTCAGTCACCTCTTTATGAACGTCACGCCAGAGTCGCTCGATTCTCTGATTGTGAACCGATCTCCCAGTAATATGACTTGCTCCTTGGTATCCTCTGATCAAATTCATGGCATATGCGACTTTGATGTTTTCCATTCCATGATCGCTCCTAACCATCGATGGAAGACCATAGCTATCTGAGGCTTGAACAAATATTCTCAACACATCATCAGCCTTATTGTTATCAGTGCATTCCAGTGCTGTTATGAACCGAGAAAAACCATCTATGCATCCATGGGTTACCAGTGACCATCTGAAATGTATATTTCAAAACAAGTTTATGTCATAAGTGTAATGTATTAACTCAAAGACTACATATTGATTTAACTACTTACATGTGGTGAAGGATAATTAATAACCAGAAACAACCTGAAACGAAAAGGCACAATGTCAACGGAAAGTGGACGCACCTGTTCAGTTTCATATGAGCATCCATGTGCCATAAACTGTTGGGGGATGGTACAGAATAAGTACGCCTAGCTACTGTCCTCCCCCATCGTGTAGCCGTACCAGTTGGGTCGACTGTCGTCAGGGCGGCTCGGACTCTGCTGCGTTGGACAGAGACCCCATCAGAACGGAGATACCCATTCATCATCTAGGAAATATATGAAGTATGGTGTTCTTGTCATAAAAAAAATCCCATGATTAAACTTTCATATTACATCAAATAAAAGTTAAACTAACAATGGGCGCAAATGGAACGCCGTTTTGCGTTTATGCTACTTACCAAGCACAAAATTTAACTCATTTTAACTTAATTCAACTATTTTATAGCGATATTGAAATATTTCGCCCATGGGCGAGAAAAAGGTTTGGCCCATGGGCGAGAATATGTTCCTTTACTCAAAACTCATGTTTTTGTTTCGCAAATACATTAAATGTATTTATTTAAGTATCATGACACAAAATTTAACTCATTTCAACTTAATTCAACGATTTTATAGCGATATTGAAATATTTCGCCCATGGGCGAGAAAAGGGTTTGGCCCATGGGCGAGAATATTTTCCTTTACTTAAAACTTATATTTTTGTTTCGCAAATACATGCAGGTGTTCTTACTATTTTCATGGCACATAATGTAACTCAGTTTTACTCAATTCAGCTATTTTACAGATTTATTGAAATATTTCGCCCATGGGCGAGAAAAGGTTTTTGCCTTCGAAATCCTTGATTATTATTGCAACTTTTAATTGCATTGTCACTTTTGGTATGAAAATGGTAATAGTTAAGAAAAACGTAACAGCCTTCTTATGATAATTCTCATATTCTCATTAGTACCTTGTGTCTAATTACAGTGTCGGCCTTATTTACAGGTGATTCTACAATACTTGTTGTCGGTCAATTACAATCTGCCACACCACGCGTGAATAAACAGTTATGCAGGTGTTGCTGTGGGCAAATACCTAGCCTGTACATGTATATTTTTGTGGATACATGTATTACATATTTTCGTTGATATGTGGATATATTAAGCACCAAGACACAAAAAGTTTATGAAAGATGAATTTGTGCCTTGATATATATATTCAACGCGAACGAAGCTTGTATTTTCTCCGCGATCCTGATGTGTATCATCGTTTAATTGGTCATTCATCAAAAGTATGTTGTGAGGCGATATCAAAGGAGCCGCTCAATATACACAGTGTCGTCCGTTTCGCGTGAACTACCACCCTACCCTGTCAGTAAGAGTTATGTAATCGGTACACAAATATATTTGGTGCGATGTCAGTGTGGAAGGAGTTTGAATTACGTCCGCCAGTGGCCACAGAAAGTATAGTACCAATCAACAAGGCCAATGCCGTACTAATAACCTAGTGACTCGCGTAACAACGGCTGTCAATATGTCTGCTACATCTACCATACCATCATCCCTGCACAACTGGCGTATTAACGGTTTATTCAAAAAATTATTGTAGAAATGTCGTTACCAGACTAACGTACGTCGTATTCAGTCCTCAACTGGATGTCACATTCCTTATATCAGTTAACAGCCCTGTTTGTGAAAATATTTACTAGACATAAGATTTAAAGACTACTAAAATCCATTGTAAGACCGCATAGACCATAAAACCGAATAAAATATGTCTTGTATTAGATGATGGCAATGACCGGAAATGTTATAACGTTAGATTAAGAAGGGGAAACATTAAAGTGTTTTACAATACTTGGAAACATGAGCAATAAGATGTAGCAACATAAACATGCATGGAATAGGGAAAAAGGATGAAAACAAATTGAAAAGGATTTTAATACAAAATTATCGAACTAAATAACTTGCCTGAACAGAAGGGGTACCCAAACTTGTTTGACAGTTATTCGTGTGTTGTAGACTGTCGAATGGGACTCATGTGTGTACGTAGGGTACGCAAGTTTTAGTACTCATACACTTTCTCTTTTTGTGTTTTGTTTGTTTGTTAGTTGTATAACGCCACACTTAGCAATATTTCAGCTGTATGACGGCGGTCTGTAAATAATCGAGTCTGGACCAGACAATCCAGTGATTGACATCATGTGCATCGATCCACGCAATTGGGATACGATGACATGCATCAACCAAGTCAGCGAGCCTGACCACCCGATCCCGGTAGTCGCTTCTTACGACAAGCGCTGTCGCCCTTTTACGCCAAGAATGGTTTGTTGAAGATCTTCACGGGTCTATTGAATGCAGGGATTTGTGTAAAGTCATCAGACAGCATACAATGACAACTAAAAAATTATACTCAGTGTCTCCGCAAAGTAATATAGTACGGTACTTAGAGTACATGTGAGATTATACTCAGATTAGGGAGATGTTTAATCCATATAACGTGTTATTATTCTACCTAACAATGAATTTAATGAAATGAATGCAAAACAAACTCAACGGCTAAAAGGTTTCATTGAAAAAACTACCCCTAGTCTTGACTAATAAAACAACTGCAACCCGACACAGATTAAACGCAACTTACAAACACAATCATAATCTGGTTAGTCTATATCACTCAACGAGGCCGCTTACTCTGCCCACAGTATGACAGTATTGGGCAGTTCAGTAATTAGGAGACAAAACCAGGCAGGTACGCTGGTCACACTTGACTGGTCTGACTGATGATTAGGTCGTCTGACAATTGGGAGTGAACCAAAGCAAGAAGTATCTGCGAAACTATTTGCTCCTTTTATGGGACCGATTAGTTTTATGACCATGGGCCTCGGCACAAGCGTGGTGTTGGAAGACAAGTTATACATGTACATCCGATACATGGTGACTGTTTTTCGCTATTCATATTCTAAATACATTCATAATACCACAACATTTTAGTACTCCTTGAAACTTTACAATCACTTCAATATGTACAATAGATTGAACGAGAACACTTGATATATTGCAGATTATTAAATCATTGTCTCTATTATCAGCCGCTACGTTTGTATCGTTTGCATTGTACAAAGAAATATTTTATCTGTCCTTTTGCAGATTTAGCCTCAGAATGTGCTCATTCGAATTAGGAACGAAAATAATTGCTTATCATGAGTATATATGATACAGTTAAAAGTTACTTGTACACTGTAGACGTATACACTTTAAAATCGCATACGACCTTCGCGAGCGAGTTGAATGATACAGGTTAATTGGAACGAAGTCTAGAAAGGGTTATAAAGTTTTGTATTTGGTAATGTGGAGGTTTGTTAAATATAATTTTTTAAATTCCTTTTATTTCAATATGCAAAAACATAACTATGCGCTTAAAAACAGAGCTGACTTGATGGGAGATAGCCACCTCAGATTGTCGGTTGGACACGGTTTAACCTTACTGTGTCCTCACCCTGGTTGTTGTTACCGTTGTTATAAGGGATTAAGATCTACGGCTCATTGCATTTTTGGTTACAGTCTGTATCACTAAAGTGGACATGTGCAGGTGAACTCTGTTCAATTAGTATACGAAATGCCCCAAAATGTGAACTCCAGACAATAATAACCTGCGGGTAAATCCACGTGCGTCTGCCTTTCCCCTCGTTCACCTTCGAAATCCTTGATTATTATATCATGCCAGAGTTCTGAAATTCAGTGACAATGTTGCTGAACAGTAGAATCTGATGGACGTTTTGTGCAGAACCTGTTTGACACTATGGGTTCCAGGACCACTAACACTCTGAGCTGAAATAGTTTGGTCCTAACCGCACCAAACATCTACAAGTTTGTAAGCTTGTAGACATCATTAAGAAGTAATTAACAGTCCCATGCTGAGACCTTCTCAAAATTCAGACCGGTGGCAGGCTGCCAACAAAGAGAAGAAAATATCGCAACCCCGACACGAGTGTGCTCAGTCAAACAATGAACTTACGACCGGCAGAAAACTCCAGTTGAGTATGCCGATGCTGTATCTCAGCCGTGTTGGCCTGAAAATTTAAACATGCTAATTATAAATCCAAAATCGTATAATTATTTTTAATAGAAACCGTATCTTAATTTGTTCTTGCACTGCATCATATCGTGTATTTCATCTGTATATGTGTAATGTGTATATATATCAATGACTACACTTATACCGCATATTCTGCAACAGACTATAATTAATCACCTTATTATTGTCTCTCCATTTACCATGGCTGACTGCACTAATACCCTTTTAACAGTGGACACCGATATCAGTATACATGTAGGCTTTTTGTTCAAAAAGGAATATGCAGGAAATTATATGTAACAATTAACTGTGTACTAATTACATGTTTGAATGTTATCAGTTTTACGTTCTGAGATACAGCGATGTAAGCATCTTCTAAAATCTTCTAAAAATATAATAAAATACAAAACTCTCTGCCGTAATTTTTTGTGGAAATCATTCGATCAAGTAAAGATGACTGCGTGACAAGACGAATCAACTATTTATACCCGATAAAAGAAACTGCCGTATTTTAGGAACAGTGCTATAACAAGACATTTGAAATTTCTAACAAGCAGATACATTAGAGACAGTGACTAGACTACAGGTACGTAATCCGTATCAATCAAAGGTGTAAAAAAACTGAAAATCATATCTGTCGGAGACCTACCAAATTACCAAGTTTTATCATTACTATATTTATTACAATGCAAATACTTTAGTGATACATTTCTTAGAGGAGAGGGCATACACACAAGTATATTGCTTCCGTGTGTGAATGCAGGTTGTACTTGGTATCTCAGTTCTCAGTTTCATACCGGTTGTATAACTGAATTTGTATATGGAACCATGCGTACAGCATGACAATTACTTGCTATTCGTCAGTTTACAACACACATAACACGGTCAAACAATTTTAGGCACCGCTTTTGCGAGTTATTTAGTACAATAATGTTTTATTAAAATCTATTTCAATTTGTTTTCACCATTTTCCCTATTGACAGTCGTTGTTACGTGCGTCACTAGGTAATTAGTACGGATTGACCTTGTTTATTGTTTCTATACTTTGAGGATTTCTGTGGCAAGTGGCGGACGTAATTCAAACTCCTTCCGCACTGACACCGCATCAAATATATTTGTGTACCGATTACATAACTCTAATGGACAGGGTGGGGTGGTAGTTCACCGGACGACACTGTGTATATTGGGCGGCTCCTTTGATATCTCCTCCAAACATACGTTTATTGAATGACCCCATTAAACGATGATACACATCTCGATGAATATATCAAGGCACTAATTCATCTTTCATAAACATTTTTTTGTCTTTGTGCTTAATATATCCACATATCAACGAACATTTGTAACACATGTATCCTAAAAAAAACAACAACATTTTCAGGCTAGGTATTTGCCCACAGCAACATCTGCATAGCTGTTTATTCACGCGTGGTGTGGTAGATCGTAATTGACCGAGAGCAGGTATTGTAGAATCACCTGTAAATAAGGCCGACACTGTAATTAGATACAACCTACTAATGAGAATTATCATAAGAAGGCTGTTGTTTTTTTCTGAACTGTTACCATTTTCATACCAAAAGTGACAATGCAGTTAAAAGTTGCTTTAGTGTCACAATATTCACTCACGTTTTCCTCAATCGCATTGAAACATAATTCCCACTGGTCAGTTAGAAACCGCATGTAATTAAATAATTATTTCGAGATTTCGTTAGAATGTAAGATATTCAGCCAAACGTTTTGCAATAAAAGACGAATAGTTTTTTTCATTAAAATACGCGCACGCGTACCTGTATATTGCATACCTAGTGTCACGTAATTGCCCAGTGTGATGTATCAACGGGACATAAAATGGGAAATGAAATAGAAACTAACTAAAATTTAATGTTGTGGAAAATAACTCCAATGAATTGGAGTACACGCACATGAATTCGTATGATAAACTGTCAAAACGTTTTGAGAGGTAAGGCCGGGTTCATTAAAGATCGCTACAATATGTAAAACAGGTGAAATTTGTAGAACTAAAGGAAACATCCAACCAAATGCCCTTTTTAAATAGTAATGTAATGATATAATATAAAGTATATTTCACATGATACAATATACTTTGCAAACAGTTAGTTGATGCTTGAAAGGGTCTGACGAAAACATGGGCGAAATATTTCAATATCGCTATAAAATCGTTGAATTAAAGGGCAAGTTCACACGGAAATTAACCCATTTTTCTTGTACTTTTTCCACATTAAAAGCGTTAACCTAGAAGTGTCATAGACAAAAATATAAAAATATCACAATTAATTAACATATTTTTCGCATTAAAACGATTTATATTTTTCACATTTACCAAGTGTTCTATTTCCACAACAAAAACACCATGGCTTATGCCCCTTGCAATATGACGTCATTGGTGCCAATTGATAAACATTATGACGTCATCATGCTTTGTTAGAGCCGCTTCACGTGGTGTAGGTCTAGGTGTGTGATTCTAGCGTCTCAGATGCCAGCCAGCATAGTGTTATGCTGAGTCACTACTGCGCCGGAGTGTGTCGTAGGCCATGTTGTTTTACCGCAGACTGGTACTTGATATCTTTTGCGTTGAGAATAGACAGGGACCCAGTTGAATTGGCACCAATTACGTCATAATCTAAGGGGGATAACTCAGGCCTGTTTAGCTCGAAAAACGAAGGCCTCATAACGGCATATCATTTTCACACTATTGTGAGCTTCCTACTTTCACTATGAAAAAAATGAGTGTATATTTTCAAACACAGATACTAATTAATTCTAAAATTGCGTTTTGTTTAGAAAAAGAAAGAAAGTGATTTTTGCGTGTACACTTCCCCTTTAAGTTAAAATGAGTTAAATTTTGTGTCATGATACTTTAATGAATACATTTAATGTATTTGCGAAACAAAATCATGAGTTTTAAGTAAAGGAACATATACTCACCCATGGGCCAAACCTTTTTCTCGCCCATGGGCGAAATATTTCAATATCGCTATAAAATAGTTGAATTAAGTTAAAATGAGTTAAATTTTGTGTCATGATACTTCAATAAATACATTTAATGTATTTGCGAAACAAAATCATGAGTTTTAAGTAAAGGAACATGTTCTCGCCCATTGGCCTGCCCATGGGCCAAACCTTTTTCTCGCCCATGGGCGAAATATTTCAATATCGCTATAAAATAGTTGAATTAAGTTAAAATGAGTTAAATTTTGTGTCATGATACTTGAATGAATACATTAACTGTATTTGTGAAATAAAAACATGAGTTTTAAGTAAAGGAACATATTCTCGCCCATGGGCCTACCCATGGGCCAGACTTCGCCCATGGGCAGGCCCATGGGCCACACTAAATATTGAGTTTTTAAACAATTTTTTTTTCATTTTTTCTTCCTTGGTATGTTCCCATGAAAACGGCATGTTTAATTTTGTAAATACCTTTAACCGAGACTGGGCAAAGAGCGTAGAGTTTCTGGACTTTTTGGTTTCCAGAATTAAAATGGGACGTGTTAAAATGAAATGTCAATGTTTGAACGTAAAGCGGACTAATTGTTTGGCAAAATATCTATGGAAAAATATGCCGCCATCTTGGATGAAGATAAAATAAACTTACGACAGGTATAGGGCTATCTTAGATTTACGACAAACTTAAGATATCTTAGAGGCGATTGCGCTACGATAGTTTCGAAAATATGCTACGATAGCCTACGATTTCCTTACGACAAATTTACGATAATTTTAGGGCTACGATCGTTTCGAAAATCTAGGCCCTACCACAAACACGTGACAATACCCTATGACGTAAACAATGCCCTGTGACGTCAGGGGTCATCGAGTGTGCATAAGCTCCTCCCAGTGATCTATCATCTCTACACGAAATGTCATTGAATACGCCAAGCGCTGTGGAGAGTTTTGAATATTTTGTTACTGAATATAGCCTGCGGCGGCGCATTTTATAGCAAGCGCTAGTTTACGAAAGCACTTTTATTTTTTATTTATTTTTTATTTCGTTTTTCTCGTAATTCAAGGGGGTAAAAGGGTTATAAATGGGAACTAATATACATATATTATTTTTTCGGTGCATTAAATTTCATTATTACCCATATGGGCTCAAATATGCAGTGTAATAACTTTTTTGATATTTGCACAGTGTGCAACGCTCTCCTACCCAGAGCTCCATGCGGCCGGCAGCCAGCTAGCATAGTACCTCTGCCACAGGCCAGCGCTATGTGACGATTCGTCACATCTTTCACAGTCCATTCAAGGTATTGCATATGCTTTTCATCCGTTTCATGTTTGACAAGTCTACATATTTTCATAAACAAATGTCAAAGAATGGTTAACTTTCATTGAGAAAGTATGCAAATACGTAAAAATCTACTTGTTTTTGCGTAGTTATCCTATGTTTACATTGGTTGTACGGCTCCACGTGCTGTCATCGAAGCCCAACGGAGAGCTAGCGACACGGTCACTTTGATGCATAAATATATATTGTCATGCAACTCACTGTCGCAGTTGTAGTAGCATATCTATATAGTTATGCAAAACAATATGTAAAGCGCCCCCAAATACTTGCATTAGTCCGTTCTATACTGATTTCTGAAAAAGCGCGTTTGTTTACAAACAAGAGAACGTCCGGTCACGTGATATGCAAATTAGCCTGTGGCAGTGGTGTTATGCTGAGTCACCACTGCGACGGAGTGTGAGTGTGCAATTAGTGATTCTCGAAGCTGATTGGTCAGTGGAACAAAGATCAATTTACATTGGACAACGGAACTATTTTTTTCTCATCCCATTAATTCACAAATCCACGCCTTTCCCTTCAGATGTTTTACGTGCTACAATCTCACCGATTCGAGATTTTTAAGACAAGACGCATAGTTTCATATTAACAACATGATTTCACATTATCATTTTTTTCATTTATTTCACATGATTTTCATTTTACAGTAAAAACCAAAACTACGTCCCCGTTTGTTAACAAACATGGCTGGCCATTTGAGACCTGTCAAAGTAAATGACCTCGTTAAAGCGGACGGAGATCTGACTGACATGAAAAGTTATTTTTCAACCTCTGAACACATTTAATGTCTTTGTTGTCAAAACTGCATATGGCCAGATTGAAGTTCCAAGATTCAGATTGTGATGTTGCCAGAAACTGTTTCTAGGGCGCCAAGATCATCACCACCAAGTCATGGTTTGCGTCTGTGTTAGAGGGCTTGCTGTTTGATGAATTTTTCGACCACCCGAACCCAAAAACCGGACTTTGTATAGACAGGTTTGCCTTTGTGAACGATGATGACATCGATAACTGCCAATGAAAATGAAAACACAATGAAAAAGTCTAAACTTGACAAGTTGACATGAACTTAGTTCACAAATGTAAAAAGGTAAGAAAAGCACGAAAAATAAGACTACTCACACTTTCAACAATGGCTTGAGAATAAAAACAAATTCATTTTGCAACGACATTTAGACTTTACGAAAGACATCATAAAGATACACTATTTCGTACAATTTTGTAACGTTGTGTGAAGAAATAAGGACGTGACACTTTTTTATACAATGTATACGTTTTTCGTAACCGCGACGTCTGCAAAGTACGTACGGCGCTGAGCGGTATGCAGGGTGACTGACGTCCGCTGACCATATGGCTATGAGGGTTAATGACACAGGAAAGGTGCAACTAAACATTATTATTTGCAAATTTATCATTTCGGCATGCACATCAGACAGTTCAGAATTCGAACTGTCTACTTTGAAGGAGATCAAGGGTAGCGTAGAGTGTTACCTTAGCGACATGATTACCAGCATCTGGTTGCAAAATCGATGCACTTTGCTGAACTCGGAGGTTTTGAAATCAAAACAAAAATAATTAAAAATACAAGGAAAAGAAAACTTACCCCAGCGAGCTGATCCTGTGTCCGATATTGAACTAAATGAACTCCGTGAATGCGGACAGCTTAGCACCAAGTCTCCAGATACCGTGTTTGTCTATCAACAGGTATTCGACCATTATGAATCACATCAAAATATCAACAAACTCCCGTAATCTGACTGTGTCCACTCCGCGTTTGACAAATCCTCCTGAAATCCCACATGCACACACGATGTTAATTAAACTTGTCCGGATTAAACTGTAACCGGTTCTCTTGTCATTCCTGGTTTCGGCTGTCTCATATCTGGGTCAAGTCGGGTCATTCATTCCGACACTGTGACAGCAATCGTACTTTCAAAGTTTACCTTCTTTTCGTAACTTTTCTCTAACAAACAAGACTTCTGCACATTCCGTCTATGTTGTTGTTATAGGTTTTGGCATTTTTGTGAAATGACACATAAAAAAATTGACAGGTTTTCCGTGTTTCCTCTTCTCAATGTGAAATGCATGTATCTGCCGATGCACGACGGGGGCTGTCTGTCAGTGACGAGATCTTGTCAAAACAAGCTTTGATTAAAAATCCTGATGAACCTTTTTGGAAACCTGTCTTCTTTATCAATGCTAGATAGTGTACGCTGTGTAAATCGGACAGAAATATAACTGCAATAATGTGATCTTTACAATTTGTTAACAGAACTTTATTTTTCATGCGTAACAACACGTTAATTATGTAATGGGGTTGGAATGAGTGGACAGTGTTTTTTTACATGCGGATTGATACAAAACAGCTGATTCTTGATCGGCGACAGTTGATTGTTTTTTTTCTTGAAACATGTCTTTAATATGAATATGGGTAATAAATAGAATAACCCACTCGGTACGTGTGATTACGGAAAATATGTCACTCGTGACATATTTTCCGTAATCACTCGTACCTCGTGGGTTATTCTATAAATATGTCACGAGTGAAATTAATGTTTTGAGTTCCGAGCTTTATCGAGGAACTTAAAACATTAATTTCACGAGTGGGTTATTCTATAATTATTGTGCACAAGAATGTAGTTTATTAGGGATAATATATTGGCGCTGAACACATCCACATATCGCTAGTGTTAGGGTAGGTCACCCCGAACTCTATCCTTAGCCCTTGGACCCCCTTTACATAAATCAACCCTTTTCGATCATTAGGGTTAGGTACCCGTTTACTGGCTATTACGTAGATTACCCGAATTCTGTCCTTAGCCCTTGGATCCCCTTTACGATCAATCATCCCTTCACGATCATTATGTTGTGATCACGGGTATCTGTCCTTTATGAAATCACCAATGATCATTCCAAAACGTCTCCGATAACCCTAGAATCGTTTGGAATGTTTTGGAAAATACGCAAACACGAACGCCGAAGTGAACTTTCCGCCATATTGGATAGTGTTTACAAAATCACGTTTCATGTACACCGGTTATGAGGCGCCTGTAACATCACGTATATTTCAAACTTAGCTGCGATACACACATTCTTGAATTCCTCATACATTTTAGAATCGAATGAACAATGGTCTTTGTCACCAATACGAAGTGGCTGGATGAAATCAAGCAAAAAAGTAAGCGTGATAACGAACGCTGTGCTCGAAAAACTGCACTTGTTTGAAATGTAAACAAAGCAAAATACAGATTTTACACAGTTTAGCATTTTCTCCTATTTTGAGCTATCCGTTAATCTATTCGTTCAATTTATTGGCTCAACATTTTCAGAATATGCATGGGAAGAGAATCTTAGGAAGAATTTGGGAATTTGAAATAGATACATTGCAATGATTTGATATTTTCAACAGAAATTGTCAAAGTTACCGTACTGTGTGACGCCATGACTGACGCAAAATCACGCACAACGACAACGGTATTTATCGGAATTTCTGACTATTTCGGTTTGTTTCAAGGAAAATTATAACAACAAATAACAGTACATAGATTGTGACCGTGGCCATATGATAGATAACTCAGAGGCAGCTAATCTTAGTTCATACTCTAATTGAGAGTGGTTTCCCTTTGTATTCGCCCGGCGAGACTTTGCTCAATGTTACAGTTTGCATAAAGCGCAGAGTTCCGTGTTATATTTTCCAGATTTGTGTCAATGCTTTAGTATTTATTTTCGCATTTGAGAAAATTATATCAATCTACATATGTTTAAAAACCATAAAGGTTTCGCATCAGTTTTAACAATTGAATTTTAACTATACAGTGTAGTATTTATATTTATTGACTTAACAAGGGCATACACGTGATCAGATATTTGTCGGGTAAAATTTAATATTTTTCAAGCAAAAGTAATTGTATTTGGTTTCGTTTTAATGCAACACCTAGGTTATCTGTACTACTGATAGACAAATATTTGATAACAAGTGATTAAAAACTGTCTGTTGAACAATTGCATTCTTTAAAAACAGGTGATTAACTGGATGTGGATGTATTCCATTAAATATAACAATTTATTGAAATTCTGGCAGCAAAAGTTCAGCACGGATTTTCGTATCTAAAAATGAAATAAAAAATGGGTTACCTTGCTCGTTTGGGTTTACAATGTCGTCATAAATTTGCTTAGTTTGAACATGGTCCAAAATTCACTTTCCAATATATGTTCGCAGAAAACGGTTATTGAATGTAGTTTACTCATCAATAAAAAAATAGACATCGCGAGAGGACCATTTGAAGCGAAAATAGCGAAGTAGCTTTCTGCACATTTGTTCAATTCTAATAGTGTAGTGTGGTAACACTACACTTATTGATTATGACATTTATTGGGTTTACAAAATGCCTTTGCGTGACACACGAATAATATTTGTGTTCGGTTAGTCATGGCATCTTTTATCTTAAAAACAAAATATGTAGGACGTATGTAGGATTATACTGATTGTCACTCAAATATTTGCGTGTTAAACAATGTGCCATGACAATGTGCCATGACAATTCCGTGTCGTTTTTCACTTGTTATTGTCAGCAGCTGGGAAATCCCCGTGACGTCATTGGGAAACACCCCGCTTTTTCAATCTCTAACACAAATGAGTTCTCTGTCAGAGTTACGATAGGTATCGTAGCTCAGAACCATCTGCGACAGGTTTAGGATAGTTTCGAAAATCTAACTTACCGTATTTCCTCTATTAGACGCCCGGGCTTCTATTTATTTCGGACAAGCCTTTGACCCGGCGTCAATTGGATGCCCGGCGACTATTGGAGGCCCGGTTACTATTAATACCCCAATTTTACTATGACCACGAATGTTCCGAATCGTCACGAAATGGAAATATTTTGTTTTCGTAGATATCCGTAGATATATCTCAATCAATTCTCGAAGTCCGTAGTTGAATCGTGACACTCTATACGAGTTGCACTCGTGACATATCGGATCGAGGACCGTTTCCCGACACACGTGGAGTTACCGGAAGAGAAAGGGAGTCCTCATTATGTAATTTAGGTCCCCAAAAAGGGATCATTAATTGTATCAATTGATCGACCTGGCGTCTATTAGAGGCCCGGCTTCTATTTTTTGCACTGAACAATTGACCCGGCTGCTATAAGAGGCCGGCGTCTATTAGAGCCCCAGCGTCTAATAGAGGAAATACGGTATCTTAACCTTAAGATATCTTATCTTTGAACGTAAGTTGTTAAGATTTATCTTAGTTAAGATCGTTTCGAAAATCTAGGCCTTGTACTCTTGAAAATCACATTCTTCATGAAATCAGTTGAGTAATGTCTGAAACTGATTTAAAGAAGATGTTGGACCAACGTGGACTTTATTATTTTTGTATATATTACATGTACACCGAGTGAACATTTTCCTCATTTTTGTATATATACTACCTCCGCCGACACAGGGACGCAACCCACGGCAAACAGGTTGCCCAATTTGGTCGCAATTGGCTGCTGAGGACACATTCTTATCCTTTGCGTAGCTCACGGGAATACGCCGAAATTTTGTAAAACTATAGCGTAGCTACTCGGGGCTTACGCAGAATTTTTGTCAAACTTTTACGCAGCTACTCGCGGACAACGCAGAATGTTTGTAAATCTTATGCGTAGCTACTCGGGGTCTACGTGGGGACTACGCTGAATGTTTGTAAAATTTCTGGGTAGCTGCGCAAACACCCCGCGGAGCTTCTGTGGAGTATCCGCGAAACTAATTGCCCCTTTTATGGGACCAATTAGTTTTATGACCCCCGGGCGTCGGCGGCACATGCGTGGTGTTTTGTAAGACAAGTTATACATGTACAACCCATGGTGACTGTTTTTGACAATTCATATTCTAATGTCATTCATAGTACCACACCATTAAAGTACTCCTTGAGACTTTACAATAACTTCAAATGTTAACCCTCATGGTGCCTGGAAGTCAGTGAGCCTGCATACCGCTCAGTGCCGCACTGTGATGACGTCGCTGTTTCAAAAACGTATGCATTGTATCAAAAGTGTTACAACGTCTTAATTTCTTCACACTGTGTAACCAAATTGTATAACATGCAACTCGAGTTGATTGTCTTTCCATCAGTATCTAAAGTCACCAAATCCAAAAGATCTTTGCACTGCCTAGCCATCGATAAAAGTGCTGGTATTATAAGTTTCCTACTTTTCTACATTAATCGTAATATGGAAGCACACGAATATGGCAAGCAAAGTCAAGTAAGCGCCCTTGTTTGAAATCTAAATGTCCAATAATTCATATCATTGGCAAGTACATGTCCTAACAGTGATAGACATATGATATTTATGATGAAGTACACATTCACTGAGAATTTTCCGTGAGTTATATTTACCGATAAAAAATCCCGATGAAATTGTGCGTGTTTTTGACGTCAAAACAAAATTGACGGAAGTGGTCGTGATTAATTCACACTCAGACTGTTTCAAAGATTATGTCACAATACGAATGACAGTTTGGAATGTATATCTTGAAGAAATCCCGGTTAGGTCCATGTATGTTTCAGTGACCGTGCTCTTAAGTATGACCTAACAATACTTATTAGTGATAAAAACAACTTCGGGGTAATTGACATCGTACATTTTCAAAGGACAAAATGTGAAAGATCGCTGAACAGCACTAACAATACTCAAGTTGACATCGCTCAGTATCGGGCATCATTATTATTTCTTAATAATCAACAAGATTATACTAACGTAATACCACCCAAGAGTAAGTACATAGAGAATCTCCCCCGAGTGTCTTTTAATATCAAATATATCAACACAAGTTGATAAAAGTGGGAAAACTCCGAGGCTTGCCGAGGTTTTTTCCACTTTTATCAACGAGTGTTGATATATTTAATATCAAAAGACACGAGGGTGAGATTTTATTTATCATCCAACATCATTCTTCCAACTTTTTCAGTTTGTAGACTGTAATAAGCAATGTCTTAAGGTATTCCCTGTATAATGGGCAGTTTTGAAAATCATAAAACACTTTCTTTTATTATTATATACACCCTTCCCTGGATTTATTTTTAAAGTTTTATCAATATTCACCGTTCAGTTAATCTGTTTCATTAACTTTTATACGCCCACCCCCCTTTCTACAAAATTCGAAATCATGGAACAGGGGTATGTATGTTCAAATGATCATGAATTTGGCATTTATTTCTTAAATATTCCATAATAGATATATATCAGCAGGGAAATCATGTAAGTTTATAAATATAAGCAGTAAATTCAATGCAGAAGTAGTGTATTGAGGCATTCAACATGTGAACTTGTAATTAGGCTTCTAAAATGCTTGTTTTTTCCATGTCTTTTTTCAATTGAGGCATTGTATTTATTGCTCTGGAAGTACAAACAAGACACATAGATATGAAAACACTTCTGTAAAAACATCTGAAATGACTATAAAATAAAAACAAGACAAAAGAAAAACAATTTACCATTATTTATTAGTATTATAACCCCAATCCTAATAACACCCCCCACCCCCCACCGCTATTTTTCTGTTTGACCAAATATAATGCCACAAAGAACCAAGCCTCAACAACTAGAAAATACTAAATATAGTGACTTAGTATAATGGGTGATGGTAACATGTGTAAACAATGAATATTTCCCTGTGGTTTTTTTTCACCTTGACAATGACCTTGACCTCTGACATTGGCCTTGCCTGCAGCAGTTCACATAAAAACAACCAAGCAACGTGCGTCATTTCACCCTGGAAATGTTATAATATTGTAGCAGGGAATGAGCCTTAAGAACAAATGAGTAATACATGTGAGAATTACATATATTTACTTCAAATAAAGAAAATCTCTCATAAAGCACTTGGATTTTCCCCCTGTATTCTCAACTTGCGAAATTGTCCTTTACATGACAATACTACTCAAGAATGTGAAGTTATTGGGATTTTTTGGAAAATTACACAATTGAAATGTCAAACCCATGTACATGTCAATGAGTCATTTCTAACAAAGATATGAATGAATAAATACATTTCTGTATTTCTTACAGATTTGAAAGCGAAGATGATAGATAGGCAAATACACTATTTACAATACATTATTTATATTACGTGACCATATACAATGAAAGCATGCGATACAGTACTCATGAATACACAATTTACAATGTACAAATTGGGAGCAGAAGAGCGTATGTGTCTAATACATACATATACATCAGGTGTTTCTCTAAAATTCAAAGAGACAGTATCATGTAATACAAGTATCATAATCAACTTAGTCATGAACATCTGCACAAAAGCATGTCGTCAAGCATTTCTATTTTCACATATACATCAACATCAAGTTTATCAGTCAGACCTGAACAGAAACGATTTCTGACTAACATAACCATCAGAAGATGACAAATTTGAAAGAACAAACCATCTGTTGCTTGGTTTAGTCCTTGTTGAGAAAGAGGACTAATTTCGGAATGACATCGTCAAGGGTTTTCTTTACATCTGTCACACGTGGCTGTCCCTCAGAGTTTTTACATGTAAAAGTATTGCGAAGACCATCTTCTCCATCACGCTGAAAAATTTTGCGCAGGTGGCCCAGATTCAGTCCTGATCCGGCAATTTTCTCGGCAATTGACATTTTCATGACACCTTGGGCTAAGAGAGAATGGAGTGTTTTGATATGTTTGGCCTTTTCTTTGTTGAAGAGAAGTAGATTGTGGACTGCTGATGGTGGGAAACTGAACCTAGCAAGTTCCTGAATTTTCATCTTTGTGTGAGATACAAGCTTACCAAGGACCTTTACATCTTCTATGGCATTGTGTGCTTCATATGATGAGTGCAAAAAGGTCTTGGCTAATTCTTCTTGCTTGTATGACGATTGTCCAGGAAAGGCCTTCTTGAAGACAAGGTAGGCTATCAATAAGACCTGATACACAGTTGAAAAATTGTGCTTCACACTGGATGTTGATCAATGCAGATGAAAATACAGGAAAATCAAATCTTCTTCCATTGTGCGCTACAAGGAATACATTGGGAAACCCACTGAGCCATTAACAAAACTTGTCAACTGCAAACTGAACAGTTTCAGGCTGAACTTGTTTCCCATTGACCGTCATTGTACCACTATTATTAACTATGATACCAGTAACCTGTTGAGCTGTAGTTGAGATTGGTACTTTTGGAAGTACATAGGTTGAGAATCCCTTTCCTGTTTCCATATCTGAAGCTGCAATCTGTGTGATATGTGGCATTTTTCCTCCACGTACTGAAAAAAAGTTCAAGCTTTAAAATCCAAGTACATACAATATGATATATAAGTACCTTTATCACTTGATGCTTATTTAGGTGATGCTTTACTAATCACAGACCTATTGGCACAACAAATAAAAAATGTGTAATCATTCAAAAAGTTCATTCAAAGATGAATAATCAATTCAAACTTACTTAGGTCTGTTGTCTCCAAGTCAAATGTAATAACCGTAGCTTCTTTGCCAGCTGATACAGTCGCGAATTTCCAACGGGGTACTGCTTCAGGTAACTGCTCAACATCTACATTAGTGGTATGCCCAATACCTGTGAAATGAAATAAGTACTGTAATAAAACGTAAAACTTTCCCATATGGTACTTATTTTTTATTTATATTTATTTGCAGTCAGAGGAAGTCGGCAAAAATAAAGTTTAAACAAGCGTTTTGTTAGTTTTCTTTGTTTAATGAAAATTAAACTTACCTGACTCATAAGTGGTCCCTTCTAACACTTCATTGGCTCCCTGTGCGATTACACGTTCCTGCTTCAGGGTAACACGTCTTCTTTTTGTTGAGGGTAATTGGGATTTTAGTTGTACACGTTTTCTGCGCTTCATTTGCTTAGCAGCATATTTTACAGAAAATGTCCCGGGAAAAATTCCTGCTGCCATGTTGACCTGAAATAGAAGGATGAGTTGCTGACACAGCCTGAACAAAATAGTATGCTGTTGTTCTGTTTCTGACTATCTTTTACTTAGGAGCCTTTTATTAATTTCTTTTTACAATATAAATGAATACTTTATAAAAAAATATTTTTGTAACATGTATTTCATTGAAAAATACAAAACAAACTTACAACACTGGAACTGTAACCCTGCTTTGAAAGTCTACAAATACAAAAAACAGGAAAAACCAACATAAATTCAAAAACATTAAAAATAAACATGAAAAAGCATGCATCAAAAGAAAACAAAAGCAAAGTTGAATCACATTTTTGCAAAACAAACAACAATAAAAAGCAGTTTCTGTTGAATATATACCTCAGACACATAGCTTCGTCCTTCATTAATAAAGGCTGTTGTTGCTGCAACACGAAAGTCCAGGGACTCTGAATTTCCATAATGCAAAGATTTTGGTGCCCTCAATGTGACTTCGCGATTTGCATGTTCGCACTGTTGACTGGAGCCTAAATCAGCATATTGTTCAGCATTAGCAATAACTGGCTTGAACAGTTTTTTCAGCTTTGACTGTAGTTCATCATCTTTGAGTGCTGCTTTGTAGGGTAAACTTTTATGAGTATACCTCTCATTTGATGATGTACGTCTGAAGCCACAGAATCTGGGAAAACATAAACTGTGATCTCCAAATTGATGAGGAATCAACGCTTTGAGATTTTTCTCCAGTCCTTCCTTGTTCCCTTGGTTTTTGGCGAATGCATATTTGAGACATTTCAGAATGTGCATAATCACACTCCTACTGAGCTTTTTTCCTTGCAAGGCATATAAGCTTTTCCCTATGTTTTTCACGACGTGATTTCTATCAAACCGTTTTTTCATGGTAATGTTCAAGTCTGATTTGATATGAGCAATCATAGTATTATCACCGTCTCCTTCCAGGTAATCAACAGGAGTTCCACCCTCAGAAAGCTCCTTGATGCCTTGAACCCCACTTTTACATTCCATTAACCGAGCACTACCGAAGTGATTTAGGACACATCTGTGCTTTCGGATTGGTAGTCCAGGTCTATTCCTCATCCACCACTTGCATGTGCCGCATGTTCGGTGACCCACTCGTGCTTTAACTACCTTCTTTCCATATTTGGCCTTGCTCATAAAGAACGTGTGTGCTAAAAATAAAGTTAAAAAGTTTGGTTGCATGTTTAAAATATAATTGCTGAGGCACATGTATGTCAGTATATTTTTAGGCAAACAGAATCATCATAATAAAGGTGAGGGTGGGCCTCGTTGGCCCAGTGGACTAAGGTGCTACGATGGAACATATAGTCTTTCTCCTCATGTTTCTACCTTTATGGGAAGGTCCGCCACAGTACCTACTGAAAGTCACATGGGTTCTACCGTTTCTCCATCACTCATCACTGGCCACTGTCATATAGGTGAAATATTCCAAAGTGTTGTGTAAAGTAATAATAACAAAATAATGCCTCAAATTTCTTAATATACTTACATGTAAGACTGTCAAATCCCCTTTTATGCCAGGCTGTATCAACTGCACAAGACATTCCACTTCTGGTCTTGCATGGAAATCTTGATGAAAGTCTCACAAGCTTCTTAGATGTTAAGATCTTCTTGCCGGGTTGTTTGTGTGGGGCCTGAGGAATTTCTTTTATTTTGGCAACAAGGCTGGCTAGATTTGATGGAGTAAAATAAAAAGAACACATAAAAAGAAAACTTTGATACACATCAATAAATGTTCATGTCTGGCATACCAATACAAAAATATGAATCAAATACAGCATGTACATTTTAAAAGTTAAATCCTTTCATAGCTAAAGCTAATAAGGTCTGTGAGTGAGTGAGTATGGTTTTACGCTGCTTTTAGCAATATTCCAGCAATATCATGGCGGGGGACACCAGAAATGGGCTTCACACATTGTACCCATGACGGAAATCGAACCCGGGTCTTCGGCATGACGAGCGAACGCTTTAACCACAAGGCTACCCGACCGCCCCTAATAAGGTCTGTGATTATACCCGGTTTCCTTGGTGTTTTAGGATAAGGTCACCCCACCTGGATGTTACACCAGTGAACCATTGCAGGTTAACCTGCAGTCGAAGTCGATGGCTATATACAGCTGGCTGGGCTGAGACAATGCAGATAAAGTGACTTGTCTAAGGACACAACAAGCATCATCAAGTGGGTTTGCTAGGATTCGAACCGGCAACATTTTGATTGTGTGCCTAGTTGGTTAAACTCTCAATCATGCACTTGGCTACATGATCAAATAATTAAATTTTCGTTGTGTTCATTGAAATTCCTGTATTCTGATTAGCTGAATTGGTCACGTGTTATTGCATTCATTTCCCAATGAATGTAAAAAACTAGGCCACGCCCACCGAGGCGCACTACTTTTATTACTTCAGAATGTCGGGGAATCCCAATATTACAGCCGAGGGAATTCCCGTTCTGCTCACGTGTATCGTCATGCACAGGACGTTTAGCGACTTTCATGCATATGCATTGTCCAAACAACCCTTTGAAACCGATGGCCGAGAATGAATGAAACAGCAAACGTGCAGGCTCGCTCGCCTGTTTTTTTTCTGCTCGCCTCGGTTCAACTTTCATGTCTTCGGGTTTCCTTTCTAACTAGCATTTTTCCAGGGAATCAGGGAATCAGGGAAGTAATGTTTGAATCTGGGGGTAACTGACCATGTTATTTGAAACAGCCGCCTTCTCCCGGACATATTTCTTCCAGTTCGTTACAGTCTGACTGTTGCAGTTCTTTTCGCCTCTTGTCTTAACTGACAGGTCCAATGAACATTGTTTGATCCTGATCTCCGTTGATTGGCTACTGACAGTGTAGGCGTGTCAATTTATGTGCATAAATTAAACAATCACCTGATTCATGTCACGCCACAGTATGTATTCCTACACCTCGAACGTTTATCAATCTCGTCATTTTTGTCTGTTTTGATATATACAACTGTTTTTGGTTAAACTTTTGTAGTTAAAACATGTTTTATGCTATCGAATTTAATTATAAGCATTGACTGTGTATTCTTTTCGGTTCATTGAGGTATGAATCGAAAAACCAATGTGCAAACTTTTGTAAGAATCCGCTACGCGGATTCATACAGTTTGCGATATCTCCTGTGAGAGCCAGTTTTGGATGATAAATGTAGATTCAATCAAAATTGTTGAAACGTTTTCATGGGCAGCAAATCTATTCAACAAGCCTATTTTCGATCACTCGCAACTCGGGCGCCATATATGTCATTGTTTCACTATGACCACCAGAAAACATACATCCTCGTCTCAGCTAGTATTTCGCACTTGGCTGCCTTACTTAGACCTTTGCTCAAAATATAATTGTATGACCAGTCCATGAAATACCACTTTTTCTTTCATATTGATTTATAAATACGACTTTAGAAGTGTATTTACACCTAGCTAAGTATGTCCATGTACATTTAAGGACATACGTGATAGTTTATTTTAAAGTAGTTTCCCATTCCATCCCATTCTACTAAAGGAAAAGTTTGAAATAGATAATGATCGTAGGTCAATGAAAGTAATGGAATTATTTGTCATAAAAGGAAAAATAAATTCTTGGTATTGAACTTCGAAAATTTAACCAGCAAAATCTTTAATATAGATGGTTTTCAATTATTATGTCTTTCCTTTTTTCTTAATTTTGGCCTAGCTAAACTACAACTTGGAGGGAAGACATACAAATTAAAATGGTGAAAAAAGAACCACAAGAATACTTTGATTGTACTCCTAGACAAATATTTATATTTGGTAATTTAGATAATGCAGAGTGAAAAAAACATAAATAAAACTATATCAAACATCAAAACGAAATCACCTTTAAACTGAGAACATTTTGTTTTTCAGAAATCGATTATCTATATATTGTGAGTAGATCTAATTACTTTTACCGTTGATGTTATAAATTGAACCATTCGATGTTCTAACAGATGAAGCTAAAGTATTATAAATCTAGGTTGTTTGATATCGGATCTATTTTGACAGCTTTCTCACTGTAAAAAAATACATTCCCTTACTCAACTCAATGCACATTATGTTTTTTGGAATATCAAGCCTTCAAACAGATATGAAAACATACCAAAATTAGAAAACTGCGCTAAATATTCTGACACTGTTAAGTCAAATGATAAACGGCCCCATTCACTCGTCGGTCGCCGTAGACATTTTCCAATCGTGATGTACTAGATATGCTTTCTAGTTCAGTCAAAGAGAATATTGTTATTTGGAAAATGAAACCACGTACGTGTATCCATTATACTACCAGAACATTAGATTGAACGCTGAATGTTCTGACGCATGTTTGCCACTACACGCTGATTGATCGGACGCATTATTCTCACTTCACGCCGAATGACGTGACGCATGTTTGCCACTACAAGCTGATTAACATGACGCATGTTTGCCACTACAAGCTGATTAACGTGACGTATGTTTGCCACTAGACACTGATTGCGATGACGCATGTTTGCCACTAGACGCTGATTGATCGGACCCATTATTCTCACTACACACCGAATGACGTGACGCATGTTTGCCACTAGACGCTGAATGACATGATGCATGTTTGCCACCACACGCTGATTGACATGACGCATGTTTGCCACAACATGCTGATAAACATGATGCATGTTTGCAACTTCACGCCGATTGACATGATGCATGTTTGCCAGTAGACGCTGATTGACATGACGCATGTTTGCCACTACAAGCTGATTGACATGATGCATGTTTGCCACTAGACGCTCAGTGACATGACACATGTTTGCCACTAGACGCTGAGTGACTTGACGCATGTTTGCCACTAGACGCTCAGTGACATGACACATGTTTGCCACTAGACGCTCAGTGACATGACACATGTTTGCCACTAGACGCTCAGTGAAATGGCGTATGTTTACCACTAGACGCTGAGTGACATGACACATCTTTGCGACTATACACTGAGTGACATGACGCATGTTTGCCACCACACGCTGATTGACATGACGCATGTTAGCCACAACATGTTGATAAACATGATGCATGTTTGCCACTAGACGCTGAGTGACATGACGCATGTTTGCCACTACACATTGATGGATTTGACGTATGTTTGCCACTACATACTGATTGACATGATGCTTGATACCACAACATGCTGTTTAACATGATGTATGTTTGCCACTACACCCTAATCGACGACAGATGATTCCCACAACACGCTGACTGATCTGATGCATGATTCCCATTACACACTAATTGCCATGATGCATGTTTGCCACAACATGCATGTTTGCCACCACACCCTGATCGACATGACGCATGATTCCCACAGCACGCTGACTGATCTGAAGCATGATTCCCACTACATGCTAATTACCATGATCCATGTTTGCCACCACACCCTGATCGACATGACGCATGATTCCCACAGCACGCTGACTGATCTGATGCATGATTCCTACTACACGCTAATTACCATGATCCATGTTTGCCACTATATGCTGATTGACATGACGCATGATTCCCATTACACACTAATTGCCATGATGCATGTTTGCCACAACATGCATGTTTACCACCACACCATGATCGACATGACGCATGATTCCCACAGCACGCTGACTGATCTGAAGCATGATTCCCACTACACGCTAATTACCATGATGCATGTTTGCCACCACACCCTGATCGACATGATGCATGATTCCCACAGCACGCTGACTGATCTGATGCATGATTCCTACTACACGCTAATTACCATGATCCATGTTTGCCACTACACCATGATCGACATGACGCATGATTCCCACAGCACGCTGACTGATCTGATGCATGATTCCCACTACACGCTAATTACCATGATGCATGTTTGCCACTACACCATGATCGACATGACGCATGATTCCCACAGCACGCTGACTGATCTGATGCATGATTCCCACTACACGCTAATTACCATGATGCATGTTTGCCACCACACCCTGATCGACATGACGCATGATTCCCACAGCATGCTGACTGATCTGATGCATGATTCCTACTACACGCTAATTACCATGATCCATGTTTGCCACTATATGCTGATTGACATGACGCATGATTCCCACAGCACGCTGACTGATCTGATGCATGATTCCTACTACACGCTAATTACCATGATCCATGTTTGCCACTATATGCTGATTGACATGACGCATGATTCCCACAGCACCCTGACTGATCTGATGCATGATTCCTACTACACGCTAATTACCATGATCCATGTTTGCCACTACACGCTGATCAACATGACACATGATTCCTATAACACTCTGACTGATCTGATGCATGATTCGCACTACATGCTGATCGACATGAAACATGTTTATCCACACATGCAAATCGACATGACGCATGATTCTTCCTACACGCCGATTGATATGATGCATGTTTGCCACAACACGCTGATCGACATAACAGATGTGTGCCCCTACACGCTGATTGACATAATGCATGTTTGCCACCACAAGCTGAATGACATGACGCATGTGTGCCACTACACGCTGATTGACATGATGCATGTTTGCCACCACAAGCTGAATGACATGACGCATGTTTGCCACAACAAGCTGATTGACATAATGCATGTTTGCCACCACAAGCTGATTGACATGACGCATGTTTGCCACTACACGCTGATTGACATAATGCATGTTTGCCACCGCACAATGGTTGACATGACGCATTTTTGCCATTACACGCTGATTCACTGGACACGTTTGCCACCATACACTGATTGACATGACGCATGTTCGCCACTACACGCTGATTGATCTGACGCATGATTCACATTAAATGCTGATTGACATGATACATGTTTGCTACTACCCGCTGATTGACATGACGCATGTTTGCCCACACACGCTGATTGACATGACGCATGTTTCTAACTACACGCTGATTCACATGACATCATGCATTTTTGCAACTACATGCTGATTGACATGACGCATGTTTGCCACTACACCCTGATTGATCTGACCCATGATTCACATTAAACGCTGATTGACATGACGCATGTTTGCTACAACATGCTGATAAACTTGATGCATGTTTGGCACTACACACTGATTGACATGACGCATGATTCACATTAAACGCTGTTGACATGAAGCATGTTTGCCACTACACGCTGATGGACATGACACACGTTTGCAACTACACACGGATTGACATGATGCATGTTTGCCACGACACGCTAATTGATCTCATGCATGATTCTCACTACACTCTCATCCACATGATGCGTGTTTGACCCTACACGCTAACTGATCTGACGCATGATTGTTCCTACACGCCGATTGACATGGCGCATGACTGATCTGATGCATGATTTCCACTACACGCTAATTGCCATGATGCATGTTTGCCACTACACCCTGATCGACATGACACATGATTCCTATAACACGCTGACTGATCTGATTGCATGATTCGCACTACATGCTGATCAACATGACACATGTTTTTCACTACATGCTAGTCGACATGACGCATGATTCTCCCTACATGCTGATTGATATGATGCATGTTTGCCACAACACGCTGGTCGATGTAACACATGTTTGCCACTACACCCTGACCGACATGATACATGATCCCTATAACACACTGACTGATCTGATGCAAGATTCGTACTACATGCTGATCGACATGACACATGTTTATCACTACATTGACATGACGTACGATTCTCCCTACAAGCTAATTGATATGACGCGTGCTTGCCACAACACACTGATCGACATAACACATGTTTGCCACTACACGTTGATTGACACAATGCATGTTTGCCACAACACGCCCATTGACATGACGCATGTTGCAAATTCACGCTGATTCATATGATGCATGATTCTCTGTACATGCTGATTGCTATGATGCATTTTTGCCACAACACGCTGAACAATGTCACACATGTTTGCCACTACACACTGATTGACATGATGCATGTTTACCACCACACGCTGATCGCCATGATGAAGGTTTGTAACCACATGCTGATTCACATGATGCATGTTTGCCACTACACGTTGGTCGCCATGACGAAGGTTTGTAACTACACGCTGATTCACATGATGCATGTTTGCCACCACACGCTGATCGCCATGACACATGTTTGTAACTACATGCTGATTCATATGATGCATGTTTGTAACTACACGCTGATTGACATGACGCATGATTCTCACTACATGCTGATTGACATGATGCAATTTTGACACTTCATGCTGATTGACCTGACGCATATTTGCCACCACACGCTGATTGATCTGACGCATGTTCGCCACTACACGCTGATTGATCTGACGCATGATTCACATTAAATGCTGATTGACATGACGCATGTTTCCCACTACACGCTGAGTGACATGACGCATGTTTGCCACTACACGTGGATTGATCTGATGCATGATTCTCACTACACTCTCATCCACATGATGCGTGTTTGACCCTACACACTGATTGATCTGACGCACGATTTTCACTACATCTTTGTCACTACACGCTAATTGGTCTGACGAATGTCTGCCACAATACGCTGATTGATCAGACACACGATTATCCCTCACGCTGATTGATATGACGCATGTTTGCCACAACACGCTGATCGACATAACACATGTTTGCCACTACACGCTGATTGGTCTGACGATTGTTTTCCACAATACGCTGATTTATCTGATGTATGATTCTCACTACATGCTGATTGACATGACGCATGTTTGCCACTACACACTGATTGATCTGACGCATGATTCACACTAAGCACTTATTGACATGACGCATGTTTGCCACTACATGCTGATTGGTCTGACAAATGTTTGCCACAATATGCTGATTGATCAGACTCACTATTCTTACTACACGCTGATTGACATGACGCATGTTTGCTACAACACACTGATTGACTTGACGCAAGATTGAAAACTACACCCTGATCGACATGATGCATGATTCCCACAGCACGCTGACTGATTTGATGCAAGATTCCCACTACACGTTAATTACCATGATCCATGTTTGCCACTACACCATGATCGACATGACACATGATTCCTATAACACGCTGACTGATCTGATTGCATGATTCGCACTACATGCTGATCAACATGACACATGTTCATCACTACATGCTAATCGACATGACGCATGATTCTCCCTACACGCTGATTGACATGACGCATGTTTGCCAAAACATGCTGATAAACATGATGCATGTTTGCAACTTCACGCCGATTGACATGATGCACGATTCTCACTTCACGCTGATTGACATGATGCTTTTTTGCCACTACACACTGATTGACATGACGCATGTTTGTCACTCCATGCTGATTGATCTGACGCATGATTCACATTAATCGGTGATTGACATGACGCATGTTTGCCATCACACGCTGATTCACATGACACATGTTTGTAACTACATGCTTATTCACATGACGCATAATTCTCACCACATGCTGATTGACATAATAAATGTTTGCCACTACATGCTGATCGCCATGACGGATGTTTGTAAGTACACGCTGATTGACATGACGCATGTTTGCAACTACACGCTGATTCACATGATGCATGATTCTCTCTACATGCTGATATGACGCATTTTTGCGACAACACGCTGATCGACGTCACACATGTTTGCCACCACACACTGATCGCCATGACACATGTTTGTAACTACATGCTGATTGATATGACGCATTTTTGCAGCTACACGCAGATTCACATGATGCATGTTTGCCACCACACACTGATCGCCATGACAAAGGTTCGTAACTACACGCTGATTCACATGATGCGTGTTTGCCAGCACACACTGATCGCCATGACACATGTTTGTAACTACACAGTGATTCATATGACATGATGCATGTTTGCCACCACGCGCTGATTGACATGGCGCATGTTTGCCACTACACGCTGATTGATCTGACGCATGATTCACATTAAATGCTTATTGACATGACGTATGTTTGCCACAACATGCTGATAAACATGATGCGTGTTTGCCACTACACGCTGATTGACATAATGCATTTTTGCCGCGACACGCTGATTGACATGACGCATGTTTGCCATTCCTTGCTGATTGATCTGATGCATGATTCACATTAAACGCTGATTGACAATGACGCATGTTTGCGACAACACGCTGATTGACATGATGCATGTATGCCACAACACGCTGATCGACATGACGCATGATTCTCACTACTCGCCGAATGACGTGACTAACATGTTTGCCACTACATGTTGATTGATCTGACGCATGATTCACATTAAACGCTGATTGACATGACGCATGGTTGCCACTACACGCTGATTGGTCTGACGAATGTTTGCCACAATACGCTGATTGATCAGACGCACGGTTCTCCCTACACGCTGATTGACATGACGCATATTTGCCACTACATGCTGATCGACATGACGCATGTTTGCCACTACATGCTGATCGACATGACGCATGTAAAAAACATACCACTACACGCTGATTGACGAATGACGCACGTTTGCCACAACACGCTCATCGACATGACGCATGATTTTCACTACACGCTGATTTATCTGATGTATGATTCTCACTTTAGCTGATTGACATGACGCATGTTGCCATTACACGCTGATTGACGAATGACGCTTGTTTTTGCCACAAAACGCTGATCGACATGACGCATGATTTTCACTACACGCTGATTGACATGATGCATGACTCTCACTACACGCTGATTGATCTGACGTATGTTGCCCACTACACGCTGATTGACGAATGACGCATGTTTGCCACAACACGCTAATCGACGTGACGCATGATTTTCACTACACGCTGATTGATCTGATGTATGATTCTCACTACACGCTGATTGACATGACGCATGTTGCCATTACACGCTGATTGACGAATGACGCTTGTTTGCCACAAAAACGCTGTTCGACATGACGCATGATTTTCACTACACGCTGATTGACATGATGCATGACTCTCACTACACGCTGATTGACATGACGCATGTTGCCATTACACGCTGATTGACGAATGACGCTTGTTTGCCACAAAAACGCTGTTCGACATGACGCATGATTTTCACTACACGCTGATTGACATGATGCATGACTCTCACTACACGCTAAATTGATCAGACGCATGATTCTCACTACACGCTGATTGATCAGACGCATGATTCTCACTACACGCTGATTGATCAGACGCATGATTCTCACTACACGCTGATTGATCAGACGCATGATTCTCACTACACGCTGATTGATCAGACGCATGATTCTCACTACACGCTGATTGATCAGACGCATGATTCTCACTACATGCTGATTGATCAGACGCATGATTCTCACTACACGCCGATTGTTCAGACGCATGATTCTCACTACACGCTGATTGATAAGACGCATGATTCTCAATACACGCTGATTGATCAGACGCATGATTCTCACTACACGCTGATTGATCAGACGCATGATTCTCACTACACGCTGATTGACATGACGCATGATTCTCACTACACGCTGATTGATCAGAAGCATGATTCTCACTACACGCTGATTATTCAGACGCATGATTCTCACTACACGCTGATTGATCAGACGCATGATTCTCACTACACGCTGATTGATCAGACGCATGATTCTCACTACACGCTGATTGATCAGACGCATGATTCTCACTACATGCTGATTGATCAGACACATGATTCTCACTACACGCTGACTGATCAGACACCTGATTCTCACTACACGCTTATTGATCAGACGCATGATTCTCACTACACGCCTTATTAACATGGCAAGTGTGCCGCAATATATTTTACCAAAGGCGCTTGTCCTCTTGAGTACGAAAATGCATACATGGTATGTGAATCCATTTTACCACAGTGTGTGAAATATAGCACCTGCACACATTGTTTAAACATCAAGGTTAATGAACGCGTATGGCATTATGTATGTTTTAAGTTCAAACTAATCAATGCAAAAGTGGACAAATAAATATCATTCAAGATAAGATTCAAATATTTGTCAAGCACAAAAATCCCTGTAGAAGCAATTAGCTCCTTTGAACAGAAAGTAGTCAATAGTCAGTGAAGAGATGGCTATGGAGTCCGACATATGACAATTGTCCCAGGGTCGGCTGATGTATGATGTGACATTCTTCCACAGAATCGTTGCATCTCTTTGCCTACCACAAGAATGAACGGAGAGGCGCATGTTGCTTGATAACTGTGAAAGCAGATCGATTTTCACAGATGCGATGTGCCATTTTTTTATATTTCATCCTATTGATTGAGTGTAGACAAGGGTTAGCACGTGGTATCTAATTCAGATAGTGCGTTTTAACCAACTGCTATTGGTTAGCGAAAAATCGATGGAGAGCTCGTGAGGCATCCGTGGCAGTGAATACAGCACGAAGAAGAGATAAACATGAATCAGCCAGAGAAGTAGCATGGGAATATGTCATGTGGTGAACGCACGTTCAATTTTTACCTACAGAACCGAGGTCACTTCAAACTATATGTATCACAGTTTCAACATCAACGCAACAACAGCAATCAGCACCGCTTTAGTTCAAGAGTTTAACAATTGAATCCATGATTGGCTCAACACAGCCAGGGTTCGGATGCTAGGTTTTTGTCCCAATCCCTGTTTCCAATGTCTCGTCCAACACAGACTAGAAACGCAGCTCTACGGGAATCCATGGATCAACTGTGCCAAAATGGAATACTGAGTGTATTATTGTGCATGATTATATATGGTTCTGTGGCGAGAGTTTCGGTGGACTCATCCGCCTTCAATATCGGGATAATTTGGACAAATGGTTGCGATGCTAATTTCACCGAAAAAGTCAATTCATCCGTTGCGGATGTTTTTGTCGGTGTCCAAAAGGATATCCTTGGGAATGGAATAGATTTGACCTTCACGCCCTATTTGTTTTGTACGGAGCAAAATGCTTTGACTCATATAGGTGATGCATTTAACGCAACTATCCCACATGCTCTAATAGGCATATCCTCGTATAGTCTCCACAAGTCTTTCTTTACTTTTTCTGAAGTGTATAAAAAAACCTACATAGCATCAGATTTTTTTATTCCAACACGGTTCAGTAGCTACGCGTTTTCGATGGTGAATGATTTCCGCCAGACATCCCTTGTGATGGTGGATATTCTGGATTATTTCCAGTGGGAAACTGTGGCCATAGTGGTGTCCGAGATGGAGTATTGGCAGGATCTGGCAACGGAAATGTTTATACAACTAAATATCAATAACTTTGATGCAAAAAAGAAGTTTTCCTTATCATCTGACTCAAATATGGAATCTGTTGTGGACATGATCACCGACAGTGACAAGGGTAAGCTTATTTAAGATGTTTTACATACCTCTTTGTTGGATGCTCATATTTACATCTATGACAGTCCATCAATGTGCAAGACTGTCCATGATCAAGAAGCTTATCCATATTTATGCACTTGTGCCTATGTTTGTTCAATCAGCATTTTCTCATAAACTTTTACTCTTATCTAAAAACTGATTTATGATGTCCAGTGTGTCTGTGGTAACACGGATACACATCACACAGAACAACATGACACTTTTTAAGTTTGTAGATGGCAGCATAATCAATATGTTGCCTATAACTTCGAGTAAGAAGGCCACTGATTTTCTAGAACATTGCTAAATGTTGCATAATTCCCAACTCACTCACTTACTCTTGTGTATGGGAATGTTATTAACCCTTATTGATACTGTTCTTACAACTGCAAACTATCTACAACATCACACTTATTTAAACATATATTTTACCCATTTATTTTAACTTGTCCAAATAAATAGTTTAGCACAAAACAGAAATAGGATTCTGTAAATTAGCGTTGATTTCAAGGCTTTAAATTCTGGACATTCATCATATGCAACTGCTTCAAACAAAGCACGACTGTTGAATTCAATGTGAAATGGATGTTTTTATGGTAATCTATTAAAAAATATTCAAACTAATATAAATGCGTTGTCATTTATATTTGGAAACAAATGTATTTGCAGAAGTCCGTATTTCCTTCTCTCGCTACTTGTCATTACTGAAGTTAACAATTGATGTTTGGTTTTTGAGCAAGCATATGGAGGGATATGATCACACTAGTACGTGTTTAAGATGGGTTAATACGCATATCTTGGTTGTTATTGTAGTCACGTGATTATATGCTTTGCGGTTCAACAAAGACGGATGCTAATAGCAGTACGTAAGTAGTAAGATATATTATTGAAAATATCTCACATTTGTACTTCTGCATATTGGCCTGAGTTGAGCGATAATAACAGTTAATAAAGCAGACATTTGCTTTGATCTACAAGCACAGTTGTCAATCAATGCGTAATACTAACGACTTTTATTCAGGTCATTACTCGAGTGATGTCTTCTATAACTGGCTAAATTTGCTGTTACACGCATCTAGAAAACCAGAGGAAATTGAAAATCAATCAAGTCTGTCAGCTGGGAATGTTGATGATTACAGGATACACGAGAAAAGAATACCAATATAATTGAGTATACTTGGAAGTATGGCAGGCACAAATCCACACTGAATATCGCACACTGATGAGAGGCCTTTGGTGAAGTTGTTTTCACGTAAGCAGGCTAAAGATTGTAGCTCCTGAGTTGCTGTCGGACATGCGATATTGCTGCTATACTATGAGCTTAACAAATAATTCATCATGTATATAATACGTACACACGCACCCAGGTACGCACGCGCACTCACACACACACACACACACAAATATGCACGCACTTTCTAAACTTCAAATAATTTTAACAACCGATATTGTCGTGAATAATTAGGTAATATATAATAGCTACATTACTTGTCAATGTTTTTAATAATACCAGCTTATGGAAATGAGAATTAACATAACTCTAATAATGTATCATTATGATGTGTCACTGTATTTCACATTTCTGAAATTGTACTTGAATTTTATATGCTTGTTAATTACCTTCATGCGATCAATTACAGTAGTCTTGCGTCAGTCACTATTGGCCGTCATAACAATTATTTTGACATAGCATTGTGGACTACATAATATTTTTTCTTCAATCTCACAACAGTTCTAACAACCTTCTTCTGGGTATTCACCAGAAATGCCAAAGAAAGGCAATTGTAGAAGCTGCAGCCAGTCACATAATAGAAGCGCTGCTCTTGCACCGTTTTCCTGTTATTTAATGTAAATATGGTCCTTTGTTCTCGAAGTGGGGCTGTAAAGGAACAATTCTTACGGGAAGATACTTTGATCTATAGATGTAATCTAGTCAATGACATGGACGTTAAGGTTTCGAAAAAAGGGGGAGCAGTTTTAAAAAATCGTTACAGGTTGGTATGTTATCTGTTTCGGTTCAAATCGGTATGATCTATATGAAACCGTGTTTGTAATTCTGGGCCAACCAAACTTATTATAAAAATTAAGTTAGTTTCATGACGGTAGCTACGTCGCTTACAGCGGCGAATTCATAGCAGAGAGATTGCTAATCTAGTAAATCACTGCCGCCATCCATAATAGGGTACAGCTCTTTTCTGCACGTCATGCCAGTAATTGACTACGTTTTCCAGCCCACCTGCCGGGCCCACTTTTATATCCAATTTACTTTGACCACCCTATGGCTACACGACATCTAATGCACTTCCATCTCCAGTAATAGTAAAATACGAATCGATTATGGGACGGAACATCTAACGAGAATGGTATCCAAGCATTGTCTTAAATTAGACTCTAGAATAACCTTTGACAGAGTGGTTCCAGCAAATTATAAAATATATCAAATTTGAATACAATATCAAGTATACAACAATATCCTTTTAATATTAATTTTGTTGTAATGCTTTTCTGATATTACAAGGCAATATATGTAATTTGTTATTTAGTTCCTGTTGCTTGGTATAGTTAAATATATGTATGATGACCTACCAATCGCCTACTTTTACATTTGACTTACACACTATGTACCTTTAACAACATGCACCTTTTTTCTAGTTAGCAATCTGTCCGTTTCTTTATATAAGTCTCTTTAGCGTTTGGGTGACAATCAATGCTGTCGACTACCACCTGTCAGTCACTGTTAACTGCACGTTTTGCATTTATCGTTTAACCCATGTCACTTTCCACTAAACGGACAAGAACACGTACAAACCATTTCTTGAAACGTCCACGTTTTGAATGTATCAGAATGAACATTGAACTACGGTTAATGATATATTCATATTCATAACACAACGCCTGTTATAGCTTTGCTTTGGTATGTTAGGGGCGGTGGGATAGTCTAGTGGTTAATGCGTTCGCTCGTCTCGCTGAACACCCGGGTTCGACTCCCCACGAGGGCACAATGTGTGAAGCCCATTTCTGGTGTCCCCCGCCGCAATATTGCTGGATCATTTCTAAGAGCGGCGTAAAACCATACTCAGTCACTTACTTTGATTTGTTAACGTGAACTCAGATTAAGTACTAGTCCATTCGTCTCACTTACTAAGATTTTATAGCTGGGATTAGTAAAGTTACATTTAAGTCAGTGTTGGTAGTCAAAAGAAAGGCCACGAATTGGACAAGCGTTATGACATCATAAATTATATTACCCTCCCAAGATAATCATTCAATATATACCAATAACAAAAATATGACTCATCAGTCTTCTCATCACGAGGCTAAAACCTGTCACGAATTTGTACCGGATCTTTTTACCATACCCTTTATCGTCTGCAACCATGCACGCGATGTTCATTGCCTTGTCTTTATCTTTCAGTTTATGCATAAACATTAGTGGAATTTGTCTGTTTTTACTTCACAACCATTCGCAAGGGAATAAATGTGTTTGTTTACCTAACACGTCAAGGAACATTTCTCTCCGTTTACCTCATACGTCAGGGAACGTTTCTCTTTGTTTACCTCATACGTCAGGGAACGTTTCTCTTTGTTTACCTCATACGTCAGGGAACATTTCTCTTTGTTTACCTCATACGTCAGGGACCATTTATGTTTGTTTATTTCATACGACAGGGAACATTTCTGTTTGTTAACCTCAAACATCAGGGAGATATCTCTTTCTATACCTCATATGTCAGGGAACATTTCTGTTTGTTAACCTCAAACATCAGGGAGATATCTGTTTCTATACCTCATATGTCAGGGAACATTTCTGTTTGTTTACCTCACACGTCAAGGACTATATATCTAGTTCTTTACCTCCTATTTCTGGTGTCCCCCGCCGTGATATTGCTGGAATATTGCTAAAAGCGGCGTAAAACCATACTCACTCACTCACTCTTTACCTCCTACGTCAGGTACAGTTTCTGTTTGTTTATCTCATACGTCAAGTAATATACATAGTTGTTTCCCTCATACCTTTGTTTACCCCATGCGTTAGGCAAAAGTTGTGTTAGTTTACCTCACACATCAAGGAATACATCAAGTTCTTCACCTCATATGTCAAGGAACATTTCGGTTTGTTCACCTCATTAGTCAGGGAACATTTCGGTTTGTTCACCTTATACGTCAAGGAACATTTCGGTTTGTTCACCTCATTCGTCAGGGAACATTTTGGTTCGTTCACCTCATTAGTCAGGGAACATTTCGGTTTGTTCACCTCATTCGTCAGGGAACATTTCGGTTCGTTCACCTCATTCGTCTGGGAACATTTCGGTTTGTTCACCTCATACATCAGAAAACATTTCGGTTTGTTCACCTCATACGCCAGGGAACATTTCTCTTTGTTTACCTCATAAATGATGGAATCATTTGTTTAACTGATACAGCAGGACACATATCAATTTGTTTACCTCATACGTCAGGGGACATATCTATATATTTATTCTCCCTTACATTAGCGAACAGATGTGTATGTTCACCCGAAATAACAGACCGCCTCCGTGGAGCGTCCGCCCGGAGAGCCGGGGTTCGATTCCCAACCGCGCCAAAGTCGTTAAAAGATTATCAGAATGGCTGTATTCCTGGTAGCAAACCCGGGTACTCTCCCAATGTCAGTCAACAGATAAGGAGGTACCAAACCTACGGCACCGAGAACAAAGGGGAGTCGGACAACTTAGTACAGGGAATGCAAGCGGGATATTTTGAAAAAAGGCATATTTGACATGTTTCTTTCTGAATCTTGTCAATCACATTAGTGTCAAAAAGGACAGACAATTCAATAATATAAATTATTTCATTGGATTTATCAAAAAGGACAAAATCAGGTTTTTCGGCCTGGATAGGTCTGAGACTGTATACGGGCCTATTCCAAAGAATTTTGTATTTTTCATTTTCCATGATGCCCTCTACATCATCTGGGTCGTCCATCGATGGATCTCATGG